ATCAGCAATGCAGCGATTGGCTGGCGGCAAGACAGCAACGTAATGACATCATTTCTTAAGGGTCAAGATCATGTTATCTGCATCTCCTGCGCTCCATCAAGCCACTCCCATAATATCTGTCATCACTCAAATTAATGCACGACTCTACATTATCTGTATAGCATGTGTGTGTGTGTAAGACTCGAATACAATTATGAAGTAATTATTTTATGACAAATAAATATTTCAGTGAGTAGAACTGGCTGTGTCTATAGTATAGTATTAAAGACTACACAACATTATTATATTATCTTTAAATTAATTTTTAAATGATTATTATTTTAAATTATTGTCCCTGGATCAGTAGGATGCTCTTGTAATAAAGTAGCAGTGGCTGGGACAGATTTTAAGTATCAGTTCTGCTTAAGAAGATGCAATCTAATCATGTTTACATGAAATAAGCTGCTCCCGAGCAGGTTTAAGCTTACGGACCTGTTGCTATGACAGCAACTCCGGGATGAGCTTCGAAGAACCAAACAATCCAAGATCATGAAAAATCATCAACAATCAAATCCAGCTAACTGAGTTAGCCACGTACGAAGAACGGGCCGCAGGTCTCTTGTTAGTTATCATGGACACTCATTGGACCACACCCATCTCCTTGTTAGTTTCCATAGTAACTTATTAGTTCTTTGGTTCTGCTCAGCATATATAGGCCTCTGTCTCTAGTTAGGTAGTCAGTTTTTGCATGTTTTTACCTTGTATTTTCTTGTGTTTTCTCCTGTTCCGTGTTCCCATGTTTATGTTCTCTCACCTTGTTGTTTTCTTTAATAAATCAGTCCTCACTTGGATCCACTTCCCAGTCTGCTCCTTTGCCTCCTTGACTGTCCCCTGTTGTAACAACCACTGGTAAATAGGGTAATGGGAGACTCCATAACCAGAATAAATAAATGGTAATAATAGTACATTTCTAATGTGAATAGGGAACTTCAGAACATTCTGATGAAGCAGAAGACTGCAAATGGGGTTATTATTCATGTGGGGAAGAATGATATTCTGAAAGTCAGAACTCCTTAAGAGGGATTTAAATGTACTCTTTGAAACACTTGGAAGACTTAAAGTTCAGTCATTCATAAGTGCACCACTCCGAGCAAGAGGAACTAACATGTTTTTACAGCTCTGTCATGACACCTCTTGGAGAGTTTTAGCATGGTAATATACATGCCTGTGTTGACCAAAAAAAAATGTCCCCACAAGGTCAAAATTGATTGGTATTACTATCCTTATGGGGACATTTGGTCCTCATAATGGTGGGAATACCAGGTACACACACACACACACGCCGGATCAGCATCTAAGGGTGACTTTCTGGAAAAAAGCCAGGACAACATATTTCAGCCTCCGGAAACAGCAGAGCCACAGCCGCTCTCACCTGACACACTATCCCTCTCTCCAGCATCTCTGCTTCTAAGCTTCTCACAGAAAATGGAGGAACTGGTTTATGCTGGGACCAAACTCTCCCACACTTCCGCTGCAAGCCCCCAGATATCAACTAAAAAACGGCGGGCCCCCAACCACCAAAGAACCATAATTCACTTTTGGTGCTGCTCCTCTGTCGATCTGACTGTCTATGAGCAGGAATATAAAAATGCTAAAGATCACTGTGTAGTTTTAACAGTCCTGGAGCTGCCAAAAGTCCTCCGGATGATGCAAAATGACGTGTTTAGTGTCATCCGGCGGACTTCTGCTGACAAATAAATAAATGGGATATCTGGATGCAGGTAACATGGAGAAAGAGTACACATTGTTTATTTACATTCAGTATACCACCAATTTTATAACAATAAAAAGCTGGTTGAAGATTCTTTAAAACATACTTTAAATCAGTGTGGCTAAATATGGAATGACAGGGCTAACATGGAACAGGCAGATGCTCTTTTATTATTTTTGTGCATAATATTAGTTTATCAGCTAATCAGCTGAAGATCAATCTATGTGCTTATTAGAGATCTTGCTGAGGCAAATGTTCACTTAATGTCAGATTTCATTCTGATATACTGAATGACTGAGGCAGAACGAAATGTTCAAAATTCAGGTTTATGGAAAATTCTAATTCAAAATTCAGGATGCATGTAAATCAGAGGAGGGGATGAGAGGTGGAGGGGGGGACAAGACATTGTGCCAAGGTAGACAGTTTGTTTAGAAATTCAAGCCATTTAGCCATTCATGCTGTCAGCTGTGTGTAAAATGATTAGGGAAAGAACACTGATACTAGACAGTCATTACTTGGTGATACTCTCAGAATATTAAAGTAGACCAGGTGAAATGCTGTAGGATGGAGTCATAGGAAAAACCTTGTCTTTAAGTGACTTCACTGCAAAAAATGATTTTCTTAGTATGTTGTCTTGTTTTCTAGTGTAAATATCTAAACATTCATGAATCAAGATGCATTTATTTGAGAAGCAAAATGACTTAAGATTTCTGAAAAAATATCAAAATTTTAGTTTTTGCTTAAAACAATAAATAAATCTGCCAATGGGGCAAGACAAATAATCTTAATTCAAAGGCAAAACAAGATAATTTTTCTTGCCCCTTTGACAGATACGGTTCCTTGTTGTAAACAAAAAGTTACAAAATTTAGATTTTTTTTTCTTCTTTTTTTCTGGAAAACAAAGCAAAAAATTCTAAGTAAGAAAATATGTTTTGCAGTGTTGGGGGTGAACCTCATGATGTGTCACACATGTATAAACACACACAAAGATGAAGGCAAATAGGTAATATTCGGTAACACTTTATTTCGATAGTCCGCTTTAGACATTCTATTAACAGTAAGTAACTTTGCAACTACATGTCAACTAGCAGTCATTAGAGTATTAGTAGACTGTCTGCTTAATATCCTCTAACACTTTATTTTGATGGGTCCACAACATACAACATACTGACTGTGAGAAACTTTGCAAGTACATGTCAACTTATTCTACTAACCCTAAACCTACCCTAACAGTCTACTCTGAGAGTTAGTAGACATGTAGTTGCAAATTAATGAGAAT